AAAATTCTTGTGTCATTTGGACAAAGTCGACTGTAGATCTGATTTCTGATTGGTTTTGAAGTTGAAACCCTAACCCTAATTGTGCATCTTCCTTCCCAACAGCCCCTCTTATTACAATATGGGACTCTTATGCTTGACTTTAGCAATAATGCTATGTAACCGAGCTGGTGCCAACCTGTATAGCACTACATGACATTAAATAATAAATTCAATTAAAATATGGTACAAAAGAGCGTCCCATTAACTAGTATTTCAATGCAATACTCTAAATTAATTTATAAGTCACAAAGAGAAGAGTAAATAAAAATACTATTATCTTCAAGTTGAAAATCTTCAAAATATTCATTACTAAAAAATGTGGTGACTACATAACTTTGTACATGTTTTCTATCATTCAAATTCATGGCTTATTTCTATGTTTCCAAATGTTTACTTAAAAAATAACCCATGAACGGTTTGTGCATCAGTTATAAATATTTAACGATTGCATAATTAGTCCTACATTGACTACCCAGTATAAAAGAAGAAAGGACAACAAAAAGTAAGGATTCAGGCATTCAACACTGAAGATATGATCTACAAGTACCAGCTAGATATGAAAATTACCAAACGTACAGGTTCTAAATCTTATGAATCTTCTTGCCACTCCATAAGGTTCACATCCTAAGCAAATATTTGAGAGCATCACCAAATAATATTTCATAGAAACAGAAAGAATTCGCCAGAACTAATCATGCCAATTCAAAGAAAATGGAACAATTAGAATAAATTGATACACAAGATGTGTACCTTTGAAAAAGGAGAATCATTTCCTTATCCTCTCATACCAACAACAGATATTCTTCCTGCTATAGCATTTTTGGCACCTCCATTTTCCATTACACTTACCAAATGCAGCACCTGATCAATGGCATCAAAACAAAATTTCCCTTTTTCAATTAGTAAATTGCCAAGCCTAAAGATTTCTTGTGTCATTTGGACAAACTGAACTGTAAATCTGATTTCTTATAGGTTTTGAAGTTGAAACCTTAAACCTAATTCTGCATCTTCCTTCCCCAGCAGCCCCTCTTATAATAGTATTCGATTATGATGTTTGAATTTGAAGTAACCTCGCGAATCTCCTCCCTCTTCTTCCTCGGC